TACCAAATATTATATATAAAGTTATTAACCTACCACGAAATAACCTTTTCAAGGGGCACCAAAAATGGTAACAATATAGAAAATAAATCTCATTCTAATAGTAGTGATATAACTCGAGCTAAAATAGATAGTATGATAAAATTACAATTAGCTTTAGTGCCAACTACTTCTCTTCAGCCTACACAACCCACTTCTTCTCAAAGACAAGAAGGACAATTATTATGACCCAGTCAAATGGAACCAGGTAAAATATATCAGGATCCTAATTTATGCTTAAATGATCCAGAATGGCTTCGAATAGATGAGGCAACAGATCATCTTAGTGCTGTAGCAGATCCATCTTATCTGCAAACTTTCATGAATATAATTAGTAAAGGAGTGATAGATAGAATTATGTCTCTCTTACCTAAGAAGAAAAAAGAAACCTCTTCCATTACTGATGATATAGATGGAATCACAAAGAGTATGGCTGAGTTGTCGATAAATAAGGCTATATCCAAAGGTGTATCTAAAGGTATATTACAAGGAATGAAGAAAGTATATGTTATTAGTGTATCATCCAAATACCGCTGTTCAAAATGTTATAGAAGTGGTCATCATTCAAATTCTTCTAAATGTCCAAAAAATAAAAAGAAAAGCAGATCCAAGAAAAAAGGTAAGGTTAATATGGCTATCAATGACTCTGATTCCAATTCAGGTTCTGATTATAACTCTTCTAATAGCAATTTCGATTTTGGATCTAATTCTGATAATACATCCTCTGAAACTGAGAGTATGAATGTTAACATTTTCAGGGTAAAAAAAAAGTAAAACAAAAGAGTAAATCATCCTTTGCCGTATAGCCTAAAAAGAAATCAGATATGATTATTGACTCAGAAATTCAAAAAATTATTCTAGCCATGTTTAATGATCCAGAGATTATAGAAACGATTAAAAATAATATTAATAATATGAATATATCTATGACTCGAAGAGTCGCTCCTGAAGGGCCTGCAAAACCTGACTTTATAAATTATTGAGAGCCGGCTCTACCGTACGGCTCAGAAATACCTGATTCGGATAGGGAGGATGAAATGCTAAATGACCCTATGGAAATAGATTTCGTCTGTCGGAAAGAACTGGTAATTAGTATTGCAACTATATCAGTTAAAATCAAACGCTTAAAAATTCCGGCATTGGTACTAGATAGTAGCGCTGAACCTGCAATTATATCAAAAGATATTATTAAACGTGTAGACGGAAAAATAGATATATCAGAAAAATATGATCTTAGTGGCATCACTACTGTTCCAATGGAATCTGTTAGTATTACTTATAATTTACCAATAACATTTCCTCCAGATTTTACTATATGTGAAGATTTTGTAGTTGTACAAGTTCCTAAACTGATATTAATATTCCCAAATCCGCTTCTCAAAAAATATAAATATGCTGTAGATTAGGGTAACGATAAAATGAAGATTCATTATAATGGGAAAGATTTTATTATTCTAATTACTATGCACAAAGTCAAGAATAAACTTGAAGTAAATTGTGCTACTGCATCTCAGAATAATAAGTCATTGATATCCGATCAAATTTCTCAAGAGATAGATAGTGATAAGGGTGACAATATAACATTGGAGGAATGGCATGCTCCTGCAAACTTTAGTCCAGATTTTGATGATCTATTGTTAAAAAAAAATGCATGAGTTATGAGGAGTTAGAAAAATCACTATATGAGGTACTCAAATCCAATACTGAATTAATCAAGCTTAATAAAAAACTATGGGCTTATAACAAATCTGATATTGAAATGGTATGTAGGCTCGAAGAGCCATTGCTCTGCAATAGATTGCAAACTACTTTAGAAAAAACAAAAATAAATTAGTTGGAATCTAAGATCCTTTTCATCTTATGTTTAGCTTCTTCCTTTTCTTTACGATTTTGTGCAAGCTTAACTTGTAAGTCATCCATTTTATCTACTTTTTTTATTGGAATATCAGTTATACCAACTTTATTAGCTGAAAAGCTAGCCTCCATCCTAATAATATTGACTGAATCAGATACTTGAACAGATCTAGAGCTGGATCCTGATTTTCTTTTTTTTGACTTTCTATCCGAAGTATTATTTTCAGATATTATCTCAGAAGAAACAACACTATGTATTAGTTGCTGTTTATGTAAGGGTATACCTTTAGCATGTCTTTTCCAAATTTCATATATTCTACGAGTTGAAGTACTATATCTATTAGCCATTTCCCTGCATGCATTTTTAACTATCCCTCAAGATTGAATGATTTCCTTAATAGCTTCTGGTAATAAATAAGGAGTACCAGCATGATAATATTCTACAGTTATATGTTCCATCCTTTTTATAATTATAAAAAATTATCGAAAATTATTGGAAATTATTGGAAATGCTAAAACACATCTATATCTCTTATATTAAAAAATGACCGGTAATTATAGGTAATTACATACTTAATATTCAATAATTTTCTAAAAAAATCAGTAATTATCTATTATTGTTGAATTATATTGGAACGTAATTTCTTTGATAGCATTATCGATAAGTATATATGTGTTTCATATTTTGCTATTTTTCATAATATTTCTCTTTATTTAATATGGCCAATATAATAGATCTTAAAAAAGAATTATATAATGCCCTCCAAGATTCTTCTGAGATAGTTTCATACAATGCTAAATTGTAGGATAAGTATGAAAAACAAGAAAAAAAAATCAATTGGGAGAGAGGACAATGAGATCGGGATAGAAAGAAGTGGAGTAAAAAACTAGGAGGGACTAATACTGAGATCCAGAAATTACGTACTCATGATCTTGAACTTATTAAAGAGAACAGATATTTACAGATTGAAAATGCTCGCAAAGATATATCTCTTGCGGAATCCAAGGCTAAATATACTACAAAATTAGAGGAGATTAAATTGCTTCAGAATGGGATGAAATTATTGAAAGATAAGCTAGATTTATCTCAGAAAGACTCATCAAAGAAAAGGTCTGAAATCGACTCTCTCAAGTCTAAGATAGTTGAATTAGCTTTAAAAATTAGTGAATTGGAGCGTCTGAAACCTGAGGATATATCGGAATCTATAATCAGTAGAGATGATGAGAGGCAGAATCTCATTGTTCTCACAATAAAAAATACGCTGTGCGAGGAACAAAGTTCCATAATCAAGCCTGACAATATATCTGTAATTAATGAGGAATTAGTGATTCGAGATTATGTCTCATCTAGCAAAAATCTAAGTAAGTATTTTGTACATGGAAAAAGTATGTATCAAACTGAAAAAATCAATAATGATATCTCGACAGATACTAACACCTTTGGTACTTGCTTCACTAATGATAAGATTATCAAACTATCAAAAAATGATACTGAGACCAACTCTAAGGTAAGTAATGAAACTAGCATTAGCAAAATTAGTGAGGATAATATGTCCTCTTTGATTAAATTGAATACCCAGATGAGACCTAGTCTCGAGACTTTACCTCTTCCTGCTGTGGCAAACACTTTAATGTCACCACTATCAGTATATATTTTTCTTGCTCTATTAATTATTGCGGTTGTATAGTTTGTGAGACGCACATGGGGTGTAGGTAGGCTCGAAGAGCCATTGCTCTGCAGGTCCAAAGGGATGATCCTAAAAGGTCATAAAAGATGTGATCAGTTATTGGATACGTGGATTAGGTATTAGGAATTATCTATTTAAACTTCAATATTATTTATGTATAAAAAAAAATATTATTAATAATGTATAGCGGAGCTAGTATCTAAAGACACATAAGTATCTTAGTCGATTGTGGCGATCTTAGCTAAGAATACTATTACGAAGTAATAACTCGTTAGGTCTAACAATATAGATTAATGATATCATTGATGTCTGATGGATCATCTTTTTTACTGCCATATATGATTGATAATGCTTGAATCCGGATAATTTCAAGGCCAACCACCCTATGCCATGTATTCCAGAAATCTATTAATTCTCAACACTCTGATTCCAAATCATATAGAAATATATATTGTTCCAGAATTGCAATTTTGGGTTTGCGTTTTTGCGCCTGCGTAATTAAATCATACATCACATTTCTATATTCTACATTAAGCTTAGATAATTTTGAAAGTAGATCTAATAATTTCGAATGAATAGAATCTGCAATTTTATCTAATGCATTAAGATAATTATTATATCTAATAGAGAACCCTGAAGACCTGGTTATATCAGCTTTGCTAATACCAGGACATATTTTTTTGGCATGTGTAGTAGCATTTTCCCATAAATGGGAGATAATAGCTTCATCTTTTTTTAGTGCATCATGTAAATCTTTGATATATTTCTTAATCCATCTCTCTGCTGATTTCTGTTCTAATTCATCCTTTTTTGTCCAGAGTTCATCAGGAGCAGTAATGTTTATTAAAGATTCACAATCAGTAGGTGGTTCAAAATATTTATCACTATTTATAAATCTGGCACAGAGACCAACTACACTCTTCAGGTAATAATTAATATCTATCTTTTTGTTAAGTTTTTTCACCACATCTGGATATTCTATATAATCCCCTACTTTCCATGATATTTTCTTCCCATATTCATCATATTGATCTTCTCTTTCTACCATTATATACTCAAAATGCTCTCCAGGTTCTGGAATATTATAAAGATATAGATTGGGTATTAATTCTTTTTTTATAAGCTGTTTGGATTTCTCAATCTCACGAGCATGATTAGATTTAATTCGAGAGATGAAACATTTAACAGACTTATTATTTTTATCAGGTTTCCAAGCATAAGTTCAAACACATTCATTAATATCTATCTGAGATGAATATTTCACCATGTTTTTAAGGACCTCTTCAACAATCTGGTATAATGTTCTATTATTATTAATTTCTATAAATTCTCGCATAATTTCCTTACCTATTTTGCGAAAAAGCTTAGACTGTCCTCATTTCACAATATCTACGCCTCTAATAAATAGCTTATCTGGATTTGGATCAAAGTTAGATTCTTCTATATGTTTAATACCATAATATTTTTTCTTACCTGTAAATACTACTGGAAATAAAACCTCTTCATAAGCTATTTTGAGATAAGTATATCCATTATCTTCTTTCAGAAATTCATTTACCTCATCACGAAGCTCCCCCATTACTCTCATTAAAATTTTTACCATTTTATTTTAGTATTTTTCTTTCAAGATCCCATTTCCATTATCATAAGCTGTATCACATTCTTAGAAATATTCTTCTGGACAGACTAAATATAAAGAATCAGTATCTCCATATTTTATTTTGAACCCTTTATTTTTAACAAAATCTGCTACAAGCTTAATATTCCGTTGACTAGCTGATATAACCCCTCCAGCAAGTTGAAGTGAGAAGAAAGGTGATTCATTATTTCCAGCCTCACCATAGAATATATTCATATAAACTTTTAAAGCAGTCTGCTTTGAATTTAAACAGGCATGATCGAAGCAGACAGAGTTATATTCTACCATAAATTCATGGTTATTTTTATTAATAAAAGGATGTAATTTTTTAGTAAGTTTATCATAATTTTTCTCTTCTTCATTTTTCAAGATATATTCAATAGCCTCCAGTATCATTCACTCTCCTTCTATATTACTCAATATTAATTCCATATTTTCTTTTTTTTTCACTTAATGAAGCAAGATATTTCTTCATCTTATTCCACTTCGTAAGTAATTCTTTCAATACTATTACATAAAGTCCTTCCATTTCTGATTGATTTTCATGTTTTACTGACCATGCAATAATATCATGACCATTAAACTTGAATTCAATCCTATGGAGCTTCTTCCTACTATGTGCTACAGATATTGTATGGTCACGGGATAAAATTATTTTATCAGGAGAGAGATTATATGTCATAATAAGACTTGGATATAGTGATGCGTAATCAAGACCGGTTATAGGGTGTTTATTTTCAAGTCCCTTTTCTGGTGGAAATACATATGCCCCAGGATATTTATCACTTTCTGTTTGCTTTTGTGGAATCATGATATTTAAAATCCCTAGTTCCCATGCACGACTAGCTAAAAGGTTTTTTACCTTCATTCTATCAGCAAAATAATATGTATCAAATAAAGATAAAAATGATATAGAAACTTTCTCTCTATATTCATTGATTATATTATGCTTGACCATTAACCGCTGACAGCTAAGAGCATCGTTAATGCAGTATTCAGCCACTTCACGCATCTGCATAGCCGTTGTATTATTTATTTCTTTTAATGCTTTTTCATAATATTTATTTATATGGTGAATAGGTAAATCTACTTTGTTGTCGAGTTTACATTCTTCCAGATAAAACCCAAGACTATTTTTCTCAGCTTTAGAATATAATTTCTTAAAACAGGAATGGACATCAATAGTCACACACCCAGGGATTTTGAGATATTTTGAATGGAAGTTTGCATTGTTTATTTTTATCACATTATATTGATATTGCCATTTCATAATTTTTTCAATGCTTAATGGCTCCAGGGACATGTGATTAAATATCCATTTAAGAATTTCTAAATTCTTAGCTTTTTCTATGACAAAAGGCCAATCATATTGCGAGTCATTAAAACCTATCTGTATATTAGGAGCTAAATATTCCCAACATAATACAAATGCCTTAAGCAAATTGATTTGATTTTCACATATCACTGTGATCCACCTAGGATCTGATTTCATCTCCACATCAACTAAACATATTTGTGTCAATGAATTGGGATCATCTTTCCAATATATAGTCATACAAATCATAAAAACTCGATCCTCTTCATTTTTTGCTATAGGTAAATCTCCCATTCCACGGCTACTATGTGTTTCTATATCCCATGTAAGAACAAGTGTTTTATCTTGGAATAAAGCTTGAGCAATTAATTGGTTTTTATATTCATTCTCATCGATTGATTTATAATCATCTATAGGTACTCAAAATAAGTTTTTATTATGTATATAATTATATAATGTCGCCCAACTAGAAAGAGGCAGTCTTTTTTCACAGGCTATTTTTTGATAATAATACTTATAATTTAGATCATCAGATGCAGTTTCTAAGCCAGACTCACAAACTGCTTTCAACGTATTATATCGATCATATTGATTCCATATTGTTATACGAATGTATGGTTTTTTTTCTGTATGGTAACCACGAATTGGGAAAGCATTAATAATCTTGGTTCCAAATTTTGATGTTCCTTTGAGAGTTGTAGATATG